CGGATTTTTATTGTAAGTTCATGACTTATCTATATCCGTTCTTTTGCTGTAGAAAACAAAACCCTGAAAATGTAATGGCTTAAAGTGATTTCTCACAGTTCTTTGGGCTGTCTGGAGAGTTCTTATGGTCTTTGTCATCTTGTCTGGGGCTGGGTGGCCATTTACATGGCTGATGGTTAGCAGGTCAGTTGGTCTTGGGAGATCTTGCTTGTATGTCTGGTGGTTGGTGCAGTGTCACCTGGAGTGATGATCACATTTCTCTCATCATGTAGCGGGATAGCCTGAGCCCCTAACACATGATGCTTGTTGTAGGGTTCCACAGAGCAGAAAGAAGGCAATCCCCAGTGCACAAACCTCTGCTTGTGCTGTGTTTGCTAATGTCCATTGGCCAAAGGAAGTGAAAAGGCCAAAACCACATTCACTTCATGATGATAGGACTGGTGCAGTCATGTTGCTCAAAAGTGAACATACATACTTGAGAAGAATTTTTGGCTATTTGCAACCTCCACATTTGTTCTAATTTTTCTACCATCTCCACATGGTTCAAATATTCATTTGATAGTAGGGAAACAAAAAGGCAAGTAAGATAGGAGTTTTGTCTGTCAAGGAATAAATAAGATTTCTTTCTTGTCACTCAGTATTTAAGCAGCATATACTCTGAACCCTGTAGTTAGAGCTGTAAGAATATGAAAATGGAGCAGTTGTCTTCTCATCACCCTTTCCCCTCCCCCAAACTCTAAATCTTGTTTTTATTTTATCCTGGTTCTAAGTTGTTTGTATCAGGTAACTTAAGTCAAGGTGTTAACTCATGACTAAGTGGCTAATATCTTAATAGTGAAACAGTTATTAAATCTGATCTGATCTGTTAAGCTTTGTCCCTCTGCAAAATGAAGGGAGAATTAACTTCTTGCTAGAGTCATTCACTGTGCTAGGCAATAAAGATCATTTGGTATGCCATCTTTGAACCATTGGCTACCTTTGTACTAAATTCTCATTTTGACCATTTGTGCCTGTCACATCTTCCTTGAAAGCTTATGAGCTGATCTGTACAAAATATTACTGTGGCTGGTACCAGATGCTCTAATTGAGAAAGGGGACTTTTTCCTTTATTGTACTGATTTTAAAATGAATAATAACACTTTCATCCTTATTTTAGTTGAAATTATATGGATATTTTTGAAATAGAATGTTGACTAAATGTCATTACCTATTATATTTTGATTTGGAAGGATATGCCAGATGTGATGGGAAATGGCTCCCTCTGGTGGCACACTCCTTTATGTTAGATTTTAGATTGCCTCAGAAAGAAACGTGATGAGCTAAACCTTGTTTTTTAAGATAAGACTTTCCTTCACCTTTACCCCTCCCCACAAAACACCCAGAATTGCCCTCACCCCCTCAATTTTTGTTCTGATAACTGTCCTGTTTTTGTATTTTCTTCAGATTGATGCTGATGCTAGGTAGGAACAGAAGGAACAGATATCTGTAATATCTTCTGTATTTATTATGGTTCACTATTATTCTGTGGAACTTTTAATGTCTTGAGATGTTGATAGGTATGCTAAAACAACTATAAGAAAAACAGGTTTTGAAGTCGGAATACTTTGTGTAATAGCCAAATAAGTTATGTTTACCATTTAAGACCTCTCAGAAACGTCAGTAATAGTGTGTGTGGTAAACCTCCCAAACAGAAGAGTTTCCCAAGCTTAGTGGACTATATAGAATCCTCTTTTCAGGGGCTGCCATATAAGGAAACATATTTGCGGAAACAGCAAGTCGTTTCAAGTGAGTCATTCGTGGTTTTTTTGAATTACTTACTACCATATTTGCTTCTTCCCTTGTTGTAGCAATTTTTATACATAAAACAGTTTTAAGTCTAACAAATTTATTTTTGGCAGTGATTCCCTGTCAGAAAAGCTACTTTATTCTTTTTATAGCAGGCTGACCTCAGAATCATAAGGTCTTTTGTTTGTTTGTTTTAAAGATTACTTTTCATGTAATGAGTAATGAATAGGATTTTAGTTTATTTTTTAAAGATATTTCAGAGAGAGAGAGTACAAGCATGAGTGGGGGGCCGGGACAGAGGGAGAGGCACACGCCCCACTGAGTGGAGTGGGGGGCGGCCATGCAGGGGCTCAGCCCCAGGACCCTGGGATTGTGTCCTGAGCTGAAGGCAGACGCTCAACTGACTGAGCCACCGGGCCACCCCTAGGATTTTAGTTTAAATATAATTTAATTAAACAGTTCATTTCTTGTTAACCAATATTTCTGAGATTTTGTTATTGGCACTTACTGGCAGTGGGTACAAGAAGTCTCCTATTGACTGTTTTTATCTTTCCTTCTGTAACATTTATAGAGAATATATGAGGGGAAAGGTAAACATGCAGTCATAATATTGGTAGGTTTTTTGCCAGGGCTGGGGATGGCAAGGGGAGAAGCTGTAGGGAGGAGATTTAGATTAAAATCTATCTGTCTGGTCTAACAGGCACTATTTAAATGTGAACTATTGAAATATAAATATTTGCAAATATATAAATAAGTATTGTTTCTATCCTTTACTGTGTTGTCTTTTGAAAGAGCTATATCTAAATTGGGAGGAAAAATACGTGTACTCCTTGTAACAATGTGAAGCATATAGGATATGTTTTAAAGCACTTTGTGACATGTTTTGATATTTTCTAGTAATTTTTTTTTAACTGCATCAGAAAACTGATGGTTTGATTAATGTTTACTGAAGTGAAAAAAAGCAAATACAGTAATTTCATGTCCAGTATTATCATGATGTGAGGTTTTCGAGATAGGTGATTTTTCTAGATAATGGAAGTCTTTAATTTTGGGTACCAAGATTTTAGTGAAGATATCCTTTTTCAATCTAGGTTTGTCATTATGATGCTATAATACTGACATCCTAGGGGAGCTGCAGCTATGTATGCTTGCTTCCTGCTACTCCTCCCCCTTCAAATTTGTAGTTTCTTATCCTTTATGATTTTAGAGGTTAGTGAGAATTGTACCTAATGTAGAAACACGTGTCAGAAGAGACCCTTTTATGAGTCATGGTCTTAACAGCATTTATTGGGCTATCTAGAGATTCTTTAAACCCTTATCTTTTTCCTCCCCTGCCCCATTGCCCTTGAGTGTAATAGTTGGATAGATGGTTTTTGGAGAATTGAGGCTTTTTAATCTTATGATATTGTAGATTTAATTTCATTCCATGTAATAGGGGATATTTGTTATATAGTATTTAATAAAGTACGTGTCACCTAAATCAAGAACTATTTCTATTTTTCTGAAAGGTGTGTGGATTGTATTCTTATATTTTGTTTTAACTGCTTAAGTGCCATCTGTATATTTTCTTAAGAGATACGTGCTTTTTAATTTGATTGCATTGTTTTATGTAATTTGCCATGTTTAAAACATTAAATTAATGATTCCGACTGACTTAGTGAATGTTTGAATATTGGGTTATTAAACTAGAAAGTTGGGTTAAATGGTATATAAGTAAAAGTTGTATTACAATGCATTTTTTAAGATTTGTTTATTTTGGAGAGAGAAAGTGCATGCCACACACGTGAAGGGGGAGGGGCAGAGAGAGAGAGGGAGAGAATCTCAACTAGATTCCCCGCTGAGCATGAAGCCCCACTCGGGTTCGATCTCATGTCCCTGAGATCATGACCTGAGCCAAGATTAAGAGTTGGATGCTTAACCTACTGAGCCACCCAGGCACCCCATGAAAGGAAGTTGTTTTGCTTTATAAAGATTCTTGTTTCCTAACATTAGGGTATGAAAAGGCATAGATTTCTTTGCAGGATTTAAATGTCCTTGCCAGAATTCAGGTATCAAGGTTCTTTTTTTTTTTTTAAGTGGGTGGGGAGGGGCAGAGGGAGAGGGAGAGAATCTTAATTAAGCAGGCTCCACGCCCAGTGCAGAGTTTCACGTGGGGCTTGATCTCATGACCCTGAGCTCATGACCTGAACCAAAATCAAGAGTCAGATGCTTAACTTACAGAGCCACCCAGGTGCCCCCATGTATCAAGATTTTTTTTTTTTTTAAGATTTTATTTATTTATTAGAGAGAGACACAGCAAGAGAGGGAACACAAGCACGGGGAGTGGGGGAGGGAGGAGCAGGGAGCCCAATGCGGGGCTCAATTCCAGGACCCTGGGATCATGACCTGAGCCGAAGGCAGACACTTAACAACTGAGCCACCCAGGCCCCCCTACCCATGTATCAAGATTCTTGAGGTGCAGGTGGTTTTATTTCAGTTGATACTTGAATGCGACCCTGCTAGCATTGTGCGGGTAGCTTTATAGCTTTATGTAATTATTAAATTTCCTTCAGCAGTCTGAGGTAAAATCATCCCACTTAAGGAAACTAAAATACAAGGAATTTGTGTGATTTCTGAAGGTCACATAGCTGGTAGATAGTAAAGGTAGAGTTGGGATCTAGCACTCCTGATTCTCAATCTCTAGTTGTTTTTCTCAGAGTTAATCATAGAAATATAAACTGGATCCTAATTAATATGGTATGATCTAGAAGGGAAGATCATTCCTGGTGGCCTTTCAGACATACAAACCACTGGTAATGGTTAAATGTAACGTTTCAGGCAGTCTAGTTTTAGAAATTCTGAAAAAAAGATAGGAAAATGTAGGTATATGAACCTTTGACTGTAAATTTCATTGGCCTTATAGATCAAATAATAAGCTGTATTATAAGGAGAAGTTATAGTCTGCTATCTAGAATTATACTGTTATCTTACCTCTGTTCTCATAAGCAGTGTATAGGAAAAGGTAGAGAAGGTACAATAGCTTGCTCTGGTATGGATTTTTTTTTTTATGCCTTATTTTTTATTTTTTTTTTTTTTACTGTTTGTAAAGGCCTTTTTGTTTTGATTTGCTTACCTCACATTATGTTCTAATATTCTCAGACAATATAATTTGGTGTTACACAATGATAGCAAGCATTATCTTATTTATAACCTTTAATTAAATCCATATCCTTCAGGTAAAAAGAACATATTCTCACGGTACTTACAGAGCTGGCCCAATGCGACAGATCAGCTTGGTGGGAGCAGTTGATGAAGAGGTGGGAGATTACTTCCCTGAATTCCTTGACATGTTGGAAGATTCACCATTTTTAAAAGTAAGAGAAAACAATATCAAGCAGTCTAAATTGTGGGTGTCACTTTCATGCTGTGGGTGACCAAATCATAGTTGTTTCAGAAATAGAATTCTTGTATAGTGTGTGTGCATGTGACTCAGCTATTAATCATAATGGCAGAGCTAAGTGGTGAACCAAAAAATAGCGCTTGTTGCTGCCACCTTAGGAAATTAGGCTCTATCTGTTTATTAACTTTTTATAAACTGAGTATCAGAGGATTTAAGAAGTGCAGGAAGGATGCCTACTAAATTAAATGTTTAGGATAAAAGAATGGCAATTTGGCGTTGTGGAAAACTGGCTGGGAAATTGTACATCTGTATTTCAATCTTGGCTCTACCTCACTGGGTTGGGCAAGCCCTTTAAGCTTTCTGGACTTCAGTTTCCGCATCCATGAAACATTGCATTCAGGCTATGTAGCTTTAAGGCCCCTTTGAATTCTTTAAATGATCTCTAGCCAAATTCTTTTTATTTTTTCAGTAATCTGTGCATTCTAGAAAATATTTCTTCTTGTGGGCTGCTGGGGCTATCCCATTGAGAGAGAAATTTCTGAGCTGTGTAGTTATTTAATCAGTAATTCAGAGGTCAGAATGTGACAGAATCCATTTGTCTCTAATATTTGCCATGTAATCTGTTATAGATCTATTCTTTTTTCACTTCTTCTTGATCCATTTTCTAACTTTTTCTAACTTCTCTTTTTCACTCCAGTCCGTTCCCCTTTCATATCCTTTTTTGTTCCTTTTAAACCTTTTGTTACTTTTCTCTTTTTCCCAACTAGTGACATTATGGAATTTGCTTGCATTTATTTTGAGTGGTATTTTAAAAATACCATTATTTAAATATTTATGTTTCAGATTTTAATTTTAAAGACAAATGAGCTAAATGCATTCTTTTAGGAGAAATTTCATGTGACAGTTCTATCCTTTCTTAAAAGGGGATGGGATGAATGGTTTTTTAAAATAACCATTCTCACTCTTCCATGGACAATGGCCCTTAGACATTTCTCTTTTTTTTTTTTAAAGAAGAGTTGCTTTTAGACCAGCAACCTCTTTAAGAAACTACTAAACAGAAATAAATTTTTATTTTGATTTGGTTTTCCTTTTTGTTTTGTTTTCATTATAGCTAATCAAAGAGGTATCCATTTTTTTGAGATTTCTGTTTTTTAAAACAAATTGTTCATTTTTATAGATTCTCATGGAGAACACTTGCTTATTTTGCCAACTTATTGACATCATATTGACCCTTATATTTGGTAGAAGGAGGAATAACAAATGATGAATATAGTGAATCATATTTCTGGCAGGGTTAAAAGGAGGGAGTCATCCAAGCATAATTACTCTTGGTGTGTTTGAAATCCTATTTTTGAAGGAAAATATATGCCTACATAGGAATATATTCAATGTAGGTTTGTATTTCAAATGTATAAGTATTAAAGGATATATGAAAGTTTGTCAAGGGGGCAGTATTTAATGTATTTTTGAAGATGGATTTTGAAAATAATTGGTTTCTATGTAATTATTTCCCTCTAGTGTACACTGCCATGGGGGACCCTATCTAGTCTAAAATTAGAGAGTCGAAAAGACAGTGATGATGGTCCCATCATGTGGGTACGCCCAGGAGAACAAATGATCCCTGTGGCTGATATGCCAAAGTCACCTTTCAAAAGGAAAAGGTATGTTGAATACCAATTTTTATTGCCAGGGATAGATGTATATTGTGTGTGTGTGTGTGTGTGTGTGTGTGTGTGTGTGTGTGTGTTGAAAATTGGAGAAAGAAGAAAGGGAACGTTTAGAGCATACTTGGAATGTGAATTCAAAAATGCTCACATGCTAATGAAATTTTTTATAAAATATCAAATATAAATAAGGCTTGAAAAATGTGGGCAAATGACAATAAATTGTAATTAGGAGTGGAAAAAATGTCCTTCACAACAAAGACATTGTAAACTTTTAGAATAAATTTAATAAAAAATATTCAGAACCCATATTAAGAAAATGTAAACATCTTCTGGAGGGTATAAAATAATACTGAAACAAATCAAAAACCCTACTATGTTCCAGATTGGATAAAAATGATAGTCCTTTGAAATTTTTAGCATTTTAGTTGAACTCACACTTCCAGCACTGGATTTAATGATTTTAAAGTTTAGAAGGAAGAATAAGTAAAGTCAACAAATAGCCAAGAAAACTGTGAAAGAGAAGATACGTGAGGGGGGCCTTGTGTTACTAGATACTAAAAGTTATTATAAAGCTCAAAAAGATCACTGGAGTAGAGTAGAGTACCCAGATAGATCAAAGTATATTGAGAACTTAATGTATGAGATAGATGGGAAAAGGAAGATTTATTTAATGAGTAAGGGTGACATAATTGAATTCCATTTGAAAGAAAACAAAGCCATAGCCCCTATCTCATATAAGAAGTAAGTTAGAGATTTGAACATAATAGATAAAAAAATTAAAATATAAGAATAAAGTTTTTAACTAATGATGTAATATATGGTGATTAACATAACAATAAAAAAAATAAAATATATACAAACTGTAAAGAACATTCCAAAAAAAAAAAAATAAAGTTTTTAAACCTAGGAGAGACCTTTCTAAGCAATATAAAAATATGTAATGACAATACTATTTATGAAAGAAAAGTTAAAAAAGTTCAGAACTATGATACACTTAACTAAAACATTTTGTAACATGTGACAGACTAAAGTTAATATACATAGAGCATTCCCAAATTGATAAGAAAAATATATCCCCGTAGAAAAATAGGTCTCAGCCAGTTATATTAAAAGAATTATGAGATACTATTTTTACCTATTACATTGGCAAAAAAAGTAGAACAATAATATTATAGACTCGTAGGTATGTGAGGAAACAGGATCATTTATATATTATTGGTAGAAAGGTGAGCTGCTATAATCATTCTGTAAAAGTAATTTAACAATAGCTCATGAAGTTTAACATAAATATATGTTATACATATATATACACATTCATTCATACACTCTTTGATCCAGTGCTACCACTTTTGGGAATCTGTCCTAAGAAATGAAAGCACTAAAAGGTAAATTTATAAGAATACTAATTGCAGCATTATTTGGAGTGAGAAAAAGAGTTTAAAATGGTCTGAATGCCCATTAACAGTGGAATGGTTGAATTCATTTTGGTACATTCCTATTAAGAATATGGTGAAATAAAATCTTTAAAAAAAAAAAAGACAACCCCAAAACCCCAATATCCATTCCTTTGGGGCTCCTAGCTGGCTCAGTTGGTGGAACATGTGACTCTTGATCTTGGGGTTGTGAGTTTGAGCCCCACGTTTGGTGTAGAGATTACTTAAAAAAATAAAATCTTAAAAAAATATATGGTGAAATAAATAAATGAATTATTTATGTCTGTTGATCAGGGAGGTTGTTCATGACATTTGAAAAGAGCAAAATATAGAGTAATATGGCCAGTATGATTCTGTTTGTATGAAAAGAAATAAACATGTGTTAAGTGTATATTTATGTGAACACAGAAAAGTATGGAAAAAATGTACAGAGTTAACATTGGTGGGAATGGAGTGGGTGATAGATACCTTTTTTTAGGTCTATAAAGATGTTTTATTATTAATTACAGTGATTATTAATCTTAAAAACCAGGGAAAATGGTCACTGAGTAAACTGTAGGTTACATGAGGACAGGGGCCCATGTTGTACTTGTTACTTAATGTGTCTCTAGCACATAAACAGAGTGGCTGCTGCTTAATATTTGTTGAATGAAATTTTTACAAGTTAATTTATAAGTTGGTAGTAAATGATAAAATTGTGTTTCTCAGTGGTTCTTAACTGGGATTTATAAATCATTTTGAGATCTGAAAGCCTCTCCCCAGAACAAGTACAGATATTCACAAAGTTTTACATGTAATTTAATAAGGGAGTTCACCAGCCCTCTGAGGAATCTGCTTGTATGTACTTCAGGGATTAGAATCCATGTAATGCGACTTCACATCACATTGTAGTCTGAGCAACTACTAACACTGCCCAAGGCACAGTGCTAAATGCTTCATATAAAGTTTTTTTTTAAGATTTTATTTATTTATTTGATAGAGAGCAGAAGTAGGCAGAGTGGCAGGCAGAGGGGGAGGGAGAAGCAGGCTCTTCGCTGAGCAGGGAGCCGGACGTGGGGCTCAATCCCAGGACCCCAGGATCATGACCTGAGCCGAAGGCAGCCGCCTAACCGACCGAGCCACCCAGGTGCCCCACTTCATATAAAGTCTTAATTCGTTAGAATGTGGTGTTAATGACTACATCAAAAACTAATGATGTAATGTATGGTGATTAACATAACATAATAAAATAAAGTTAAAAAAAAGTGGTGTTAATGAGACCAAAGTTGTAGGCTTGAAAGTCTGTTAGCTTTCCACAGGAATTAAGGTCATCATCTAGCTTTCTGACACCTATAGAACGTCAGTCACAAAGGGCAAAAAAAGTATGTTGTAGCATCACCTGTGTGTGCGGGTGTGTAATACAACTGTAATACAGGAGTGCACAGAGAGCACTAAGTAGTAGAGATTGAGGGTGGGAAATTAGAGAACTAGTAAGAAAGGGCGATTCTAGGGGTTTAGATGAGGATGAGAGGAGAAAATTGTGGGGGCAATCTGGAATTGTCTCTGAAAGCAACAGAAGACTCTACAGAAAGATAAGTAAGATGATGACTCCCAAAGAAACTCTCCCTCACTTCCCTGCAGCAGAACTACACAGGGGTTTGCATTGAATGAGCTAAGTAGCAGCTTGTGTGTGCGTATCTAGGTGAGCAGTAGCTTGGAGACAGTGCCAGTGGCAGGTGGTTGTCCTTCAAGAGAGAGCTAAGGTTTTCTTTCTGCCTCCAATAAATCCTGCGTGTTTTGTGGAAGCAGTTATTATTGGGTGTTTTTTTGCTATTTCTTTGTTGGTCTTTTTCTCACTGGAGTATGAACTCATGAAAGTAGGGGACTTGTCTGTTATTTTCATTACTATCTTGTTCACTAGCTGCAGTGCCTAGATAGGACCTGGTATATAATAGGTATTCTCTAAATATTAATTAATCCATTTTTAAAGTTACCTGTTTGTTCCAGATACATACCTTACATTAGCCATGTGACTTGAGTGGGGGCATGGTTCTGCAGATAAGACCCAAACAAACCTCAGGTAAAGGTTCTGGACAGGGGAACTTTTGGGTAAACCACACCATCTGTAATTTAGTAGTCTATCCACACTACAGCTGCCACTTTTGTGAAGGGTATGTTAGAAAAAGGAGGGGATTATATATCTGTTTTTGTTTGTACTTGTTCATTTTAAAAATAGAACCTGATTTGGGAGCAGGTGATTTAAAATTTCCTTCTGTCTGAATTATGTGATTACTAAATGCTTCATGGCAGTTAAGCCTCAGTACATCAATACAAATGTTTGAAGGCAATTAAACCTTAATACATAGGCCTGCCTCTCCCCCCCTCCACTTTATATTATATATATGTAATTTTATTTTAACAGAACTACCAATGAAATAAAAAACCTGCAGTACCTACCTCGAACCAGTGAGCCCCGTGAGATGCTCTTTGAAGACAGAACAAGAGCCCATGCAGATCATATAGGACAAGGTTTTGAACGACAGACTACAGCTGCTGTCGGAGTGTTGAAAGCTGTGCACTGTGGAGAGTGGTATGTATTAACTACTGCTTTTTTTGTTTAATTTTGAGCTACTGCTATTTTAATGATAGGTTTTCTTGGCTTCTAAAATTTTTCTTGGGAAGTTTCTCAATAATTCTCCTTACTGTAAGGAAAGTTGCATTTTTCACAGTATTTGGATATCCTAATTGTATAATTGCACTAAAGATTTTCAGTTGTTAGAATGTAGTCTTACTCTTTTGGGTTTGACTGGAGAGGGAGAAGCAGGCTCCCTGCTGAGCAGGGAGCCCGATGTGGGACTCAATCCCTGGACCCTGGGATCATGTCCTGAGCCGAAGGCAGACGCTTAACTGACTGAGCCACCCAGGCGCCCTAAGGTTTAGATTTTATCACTGTTTTTGGGTTTTTTGGGTTTTTTTTGAAGATTTTATTTATTCACTTAGAGACAGCAAGAGGGGGAGGGGGAGAGGGAGAAGCAGGCTTCCTGCTGAGCAGGGAGCCTGATGCGGGGCTCCATTCCAGGACCCTGGGATCATGACCTGAGCTGAAGGCAGATGCTTAATGACTGAGCCACCTAGGCCCCCCTTTATCACTGGTTTTTAAAAATTTCTTTATGATTTGCCTTGGTATGATTTTTTTTCTTTCTTTTTTTTTTTTTTGAATTTATGTTGCTTGGAATTTCATTTCAAAATCCATTTTTGAGCATCTTCTGTAAAAATGTGTATATTGCTAATTAATTGAAGAATTTGGGAATTTTTTTTAGAACTATATTTAAAGACACTATTAACTCCCACAAATAGTGATAATAGTTTATTAGCACTTTTCTAAATGAAGGTCTCTTAATTTATTAAGGGTTACTTAGGAATTTTAGATATAACTGCAGTTATATATGTCTTCATTAGAAGAAAGTACTCTTCTCCCCATATTTACTTCTTAATTTTTATGTAGTAGTTTCATCTTTAGCATTTAATTTGTTGAAGTATTGACCTTTAAGACAAAGCCCTTAGTTTTTTGATTTGCATAGTTAACCCATTCACATTATTTTAATTTTTCAAAATATGGTTATACATAGCTATAATAAAGTGAGGTTAGTTGTTTTTATTTATGTTTAGGTCAAAACTCATGGTTTTATCCCTTTGTTTAAATATGTAGAGTGATCTTCTAATTACATTTTAACTTTATTTCTAGGTACTTTTGTTTTGACCACAAACTATTTTTGCTTTAAATTTAATAAGGACTTAACAGAGTGAAACATTAATGGGAGATTCTTCATTATCTCATGTTCTTTTTTAGGCCTGCTCAACCCCGAATAACCAAAGATGTAATTTGTTTTCATGCTGAAGATTTCTTAGAAGTAGTTCAACGAATGCAGTTAGATTTACATGAACCTCCACTGTCCCAGGTATATCTTAAACTATTATTGTCTTCAGTTTAATTTTTATTGTAGAAAAGACTTAATGGTATTCCTGTTTCTTTTTTTTTAGTGTGTCCAGTGGGTTGATGATGCAAAACTTAATCAACTGAGGAGGGAAGGCATCCGCTATGCCAGGATTCAGCTGTATGATAATGACATTTATTTTATTCCAAGGAATGTTGTTCATCAGTTCAAGACAGTTTCAGCAGTATGCAGTTTAGCATGGCATGTTCGGCTCAAGTTGTATCACTCAGAGGAGGAGACCGCTCAGAATACAGCTACGCACGAAACAGGCACATCACCAGATCCCACAACATCAGTTCTTGGACCTCACACTGACCACGTGATTTGTGCTGTAAGCAAAACCTCCTTGGATTCTAATTTTTCAGACAAACTTCATTCTAAATCTGAATTACAGCAGATTAAACATGAACCTATTGCAGCTGTAAGAATCAAGGAAGAACCTGTGAATGTTTATATTCCTGAAAAGACTAGAGCACCGAATAATATGGATGGCAAGAATGTTAAAGCAAAATTGGATCATGTTCAATTTACAGAATTTAAGATTGACATGGACTCTAAATTTGAAAATAGCAACAAAGATTTAAAAGAAGAATTGTGCCCTGGAAGTCTCATAAGTCTAGTTGATACAAGGCAACATAGTTCAGCACATTCAAATCAAGATAGAAAAGATGATGACATTTTGTGCTAAATTTGTACATACCATTTAAAATTCTTTTTTTTTTAAAGTTAATAATGTAATAAAGATTCATGAATTCTGAAAGCAAGCCAAGGACTTGCTCCCAAGTCTGTTACAAAATAGAGTTTATGTAGCTTTGTAACATTCCTCAGTGCCTGTCCATAACTGTGAAGGATCAAAGCACTTAGGGCCAGATGCACTGTAAATATTACAGGTTTAAACAAAAGGAGTCTTTAAAGAATCATTTGATTTGGAATTGTAGGTTTTAGAATAGAGCTGACATTAACATATATATATATATATATATTTTTTGTAATATGAGCCAGAATTCTTTTTTGACAATTTAAGGCTTTTCCATAGAGCTTATTTATACCGATTTTTTTTCATTTTAATGTGTCAGCACTGTAGTGTAAATAGCTTTTAAAAAATCTTTTTAGTGTGATTTATACTGAAATGTGAGCCACTTAATAAAGGTTCATAATAATAAATATGTTTTCTGTTGGGTCTGCAAAAAGACAAACTGACAATTCAGTTAAGTCATTTATTTGGTCTATTATGTTTCTGCTGGTGTATCCATTTAGAGTGGTAATGGAGTGCAAATGTAAGTATTCGAATCTAGTGAATATTTAAATTCCCCACACTGTGTAAGCATTTTTGAAAACAAGATTCAGTTACGAAAGCATATTTATATAATGTGTGTATGTATGGGAATATATATAGATATGTATATCATATTTTGCATAACTTCTTAAATTGCTGAATAAGGTGAATATGTGAAACTTCTAGCCTCACTCCCTGGAATACATTTTAAAATATTTATATTCAACATTCAGAAAGCAGTTTAGGTAATAGAAGCAATTTTATAAAGTTGGGAGAAACAAGGTCTGTTAGTGGTATTGAACTCTTCTAACTCATGAAGTTACATGGCCAGATTACATAGCCCTAACGTAAATCTTCTCTATATAGAGTGTCTGGAATGAGAAGAAGTTGAGAAAATGTTCTTACTAATAAGCACCTGTATATTTAATAGTAGCTGAGTAAAAATCTTTAGTTACAGAATGTTTAGTTGTGAGCAGTTAAAATCCTCTCAACATTTTTCTTGCAGAACAGGAGGAAAGTCTGACAAATACAAAATCTTAAGGGCCATGACTCAACTGCCATATACAGAGATATAACTAACAAAATAAGATGTTACCTCATTTTTCTAAGGATCCTTCTCCCTACCTTTTTCTCAAAAAAGCCCTGGAAAGTAAAATTAGGGTAGGATTGCCAGTGCCTAGCTATGGATTAAAAAAGATCTCTTCAGTGATGGACTTCAGCACTATTTGAGACTGCTTCTGCTACTGTAACTAAAAGTCAAACAGATGTCTTTAATGTATGCTTTGGTATAAGGAACACTGCTCATTGCACATTTATTTTATTTATCTTTGGTATTTTTCTGGGCTCATACTTTGGTTGATGACTTTTAACTGAGATTCTTTGTGCTGTCTTTTGTTTAGTGTTGCTGTTGAAATTGTTTCTGCTCCAGCCTCATTTGTGGTACCCATAAAACTGCTTATCTTTATGGTTAGGGAGAAGCCAGTTGAGGCATTTCACCAGAAAAAAATCAGTTGCAGCAGTGACATCATTTCTGGCCCACAGTTTAAAAGGGTTAGGCAAATACTGTAGGAAATCTCAATGGGTTATAGGAAATCAATATATTTGCAATATAGGAATTTTCATGGGATAAGGAAGGTATAAATCATGATAATGTAAATAGGGATTTTGTTTTATGTTACTGTCTTAGCCTGCTCCTCACCACTTTAATCTTCTCTGTTAAGCTAAATTTATCATTTGCATCTACTTTTTGGGGATAAAAAAGTTCATAACAAACCAGTATTGAGAAATAGGAGAGCATGTGGTTAAAATGTTTTCTTTTTTAATTGAAGTGGTTAAAATGTTTTTTTTTAATTGTAGAGTGATATATTTAACAATACTTTAGTTTTCTAGTAGTATACACATAGATACATGAGATCATACAGTAATAAAATGTCTTTAGAGTATCCCTCCAAAATATCTTGAGCCTTAAACTTTTAACTAAAAGACATATCTAAAATAACCACAGTGGTTGCTTTTAGTTCCTTATATGACCAATACTCAAAACTTCTCCATATTTTGAAAATTTAAAAGTTCTGTAAAATACATATATGTATGCATTTTACAATATAAATGAAACATAAATCAGTGGGCTCAAGATTTCAAGATACAGCTTTGTCACCTTGAATAATATTATATCCCTTGTCTTACGGGTTATAATTTTTAAAATCCTCTTCAGTTGCTATCTAAGAACTTGCTGATTACCTTTTTTAAACACACATAATTTCTATTTCAATATTGCATTATATTAATGGTTTCCTAGTTACTCCATTCCAGTTCTTTACCTGAACACTCATTTTTTTGTTGATTTTTCCAATTTCTTGGACCAGAACGATAAAGCACTTAAGTTGTAGTTTCCATATGATCTTATGCTATATAAACAGTTATTATGTAAATTATTAAATTGATACACAGACCTTAAAAAAAAAAAAACTAAGGTACCTCAGTGGTGTCTGCTACAGTGTTTTGTTTTGTTTTTTTTTAATTACTTTGGTTCATACCTATTAGCTATTGAAGAAGTAGAATCTTTTCCATTCTCAGGTTAGCTGGTTAGCTAGCAAAAGAATTAAGCATTTGTGATATTTAGTTGAAAACTTGACTAAAGCCATATTCATTATCTCCCTTTTCCCTAAGGCTGCTGACCTTAAATAAAGATTAGGTTGATCAGGCACAACACTCGTGTGTGTGTGTGTGTGTGTGTGTGTGTGTGTGTGTAAGTAAGATTATTGGAAATACTATGTTTATTCCCACATATATTCATTTTCAATCCATTCTATAACTTTAGGGAGGGAAGGGCCAGAGAGGGTAGGACAAATTGTATTTCTTGTGTTATGTCTTCAAGTTACTTCATTAGTGTTCCTGAGTTTGAAACGGTTTTTTTCCCCAAATACATAATGGCAGGTGAGATCATTTTTGTAAATAATAGATTAGCACTGTTTTGGTAAATTTGCATTCGGTTATTTTGTTGGACAAGTTTATTGTCATGTAAAGCAAATATCTAAAAGTTCATTTTACATTTAGCAGAGATGCAAGATTGTTTTTAGAGTTTGAGAGGAATTTTCCTTGTCTTCCACCTTTCAATAAATACTAAAATTGATAACTGTAATCTTTTTACCTTTGTTTTGTATTATTTTCTTATATTTGACATTTTCATCTCGTCATCTTTAAAAGTTCTTGTTTCTTCGTCTTCAAATGAAACTAGAAGATCTTGAAAGTGATTCCAATCTGAAAGTCTTTTTTTTCTCTTAAAAATTATCAAAAGTTGACTCATGCCAGCCTAGAATATTGAGGATTACCTTAAAGCTGTTAAACTAGTTCGGTGTGGGTGCTGGGATGGCATGCTAAATCACTTCCCTTCCCTCTAGACGGGACTATTTCTGTCCCAGGAGGGGAGGACAAAAGTGCATTGTTTTCAAGATACTTTTAAGCTGGTAAAAAGTGACATGATGGGTTGTAGGTCTTCAGAGTGGTAGAAGAGCTCTTGATTATTAATACTCCACCTGATGTAACTACTTTGATATGTAAACAGAATTTTACTGGTTTTAGAATGCCTTGTCTATTTCATGAAAAAGTTATGTTTGACATGTTTGGCACTGACAGTGTACCTCAGATAAAATAATTAAAAGGACAACTCGGAAGAAGTATAAATCTCTCTCTCTGCTCTGGCTTTTCTTTTTTCAACATACTGCATATTGCAGATGGGAACCATCGCTTTTTAGAATGTCAAGCACAAGAGGCTAAAAGCAGAGATGCCTTTTCTTCTTTACGTTTACAGATGTTCTATGTCATATCTCTACTGGGAGATCAGGGAAAAAGAAGGGGATAACATCTTGCATTTCAGTTTATCTTCCCTTCTAGGACTTTAGGCCCAACCAGGGAGTGTGAATGAGCTTAGAATAAAATGTAGGCAAATAGAATTTATGTTAACTAGAAATTAAAAGTAAAATTAAAACATACTACTTACATGTTTTATTACTATTATTTGCCTTCCAAGAACTGCACTATTAAAATATAAGAACTCTGGATCCTTCTACACATTTTGAAATTCAGAATTTACGTATCTATATTTTTAAAATGTTAAATCTGTATGCTTTCCTATAAAGTTCATTGCCTTGGTACTACTGAAGACTACAAAGTATGCAGATTCAGGGACAAGTCAGTATAGTTGCAAATATTTTGCATAATGTGGCGTTTAAATTGGACAGGCAGTTCTACATCCTCCCTCTACCCAAGTTTCTTCTTTCTTTGAAATTTTGTTTTTGTTTTTAACTGAGCCAGACATATATGTGAAAAATCTCGAGTCTTCTATCTTCTTTAAAAAAAACAAAAACAAAAACTTCTTTAGTCTGGCTTTTGTTTATGCTGTTGTTCCATACCTCTTCCTGACTGACAGAGTTCTTGGAAAACTGTCTGCCTTCACTTCCTCATTTCAGTATAATTTTGTCTTAATCCTCAAATTTAGTCACCCAGCTGAAGTGGTTCCCTCAAAGGTCAACTTTCGACTGCCAAATTCAGTGGCTTCATTTCTTAATACTTCTGTTTATTTATTTATTTATTTTTTAGATTTTATTTATTTATTTGACAGAGAAAGACACAGCGAGAGAGGGAACACAAGCAGGGGGAGTGGGAGAGGGAGAAGCAGGCTTCCCGCTGAGCAGGGAGCCCGATGCGGGGCTCGATCCCAGGACCCAGGGATCATGACCTGAGCCGAAGGCAGAGGCTTAACGACTGAGCCACCCAGGCACCCCTTAATACTTCTGTTTAATCCTTGCGGCACTTGTTAGCAATCTTTTACTCCCTAAAACTCTGTATGTATGACCAATCTGTTCTGTTTTGCTTTTCCATTTCTTTGGATGTCTTTTTGCCTTAGCCACTACTATTTAAAGCAGGTTCTTTAGGTCTCTACACTTTGTCCCTGAATTATCTTCGTGACCCCATGACTTCAGTCCGCCTTGGTTTCTCACTTCAGCTCTAAGATCTGTGTAATCAGAATTAAATCCTTCTCTTCTCCCTTGCCCCCAAGCATTAGCTCTTCCTTTCCCTCCTAATTTGGGTATTGGCATCACTATGTCTCTGCCTAGATTTCTCTATCTTTTCTTCTAACTATATACAATGTTTGTCATGAGATTTTCTTGAGTTGACCCCGGAAGTGTTCATAATTTGTCTACTTTCTTGTTATAGTAGATATTCATCTTACCTGGACTCTTAAAATAGCCTAAAATGTTCCAGGCTGCCTGCAGTCCTCTGCCTCTACCCCCATTCCAATCCATTCTTTGTTACTACCAGATTAATCTTTCTAAGATAGATATGATTGTTACTCTTTTGCTTAGAAATATTCTGTGGCTCCTTTCCTAAAGACTAGAAGCCAAATCTCAGTATCACACCAAAAAGCCTTCATGATAAGGCCCTTCCTTTCCAGCTTCATCCACCAGTCTTCCATTAATGTACCCAATTTTCAGCTTTACCAGGTGCCAGGACTTGCCATTTCCTTTGTGTACTTTTAAAATTCTTTGCTTTTGCTGGGGAAATCTCTGCTTGGAATATAATACCGTGAAATCTTTTTTCAAAACTCTAGTTAAACATCTTAGTGTCTTTTACTGAGTTCATCCGTTCCAACTGTCCCCTCACCCCAAAGCTGGTGTAGGACCATTTCTTTGCTTCTTGCATCCCTTTGTTCACATCATTTAATGTACACATTAGTTAAGTACACGTTGGGCTTTACCTAAACCATGAACTAGAAGTTACAAGTTTTTTCTTTTTAATCCCTTTTTGTATCCTTGACACCTAATATATACACTTGGTATTCAATAAATATTTGAAGGAACAAAAGTTGTACCTTAACTTTACTGGGGGTGGGAAAAACTATGTAGGTTTCTATGATATAAAAACTGTCTCTGACTTTATTTTGTAATGTAATTCTAGAATTGCAACAGAAAAGTGGAGAAAATTGGATTAGCAAGCACTATAAAGAGACCGAGTTTCTATCTTGTACTTCAGTCTTATGAATAAAGTTTAAGAAGCTACCTGTTAAATATCTAGGCCCCTTGGGCAATGTGGAGAAAGTATTGTAAAGATCGTTAAACCTGTAAAACTCACCCGACTTTTTTCTTCAACTAGAGATACACTCATTACAAATTGAGGATAAATTTAAACTAGACCTAAAGTGATTAAAATGGCAAATAATCATATAAGAAGCACCTTAATATCTCATAGTCTGAATCAGATTTTTAGCGTGCTAAGTCTTAACTTGGCAAGATAAAGTCTCCCTATTGATACAAATATTCAAAAATTGAAAATATTGAAGGTGATAACATGCACTCATATTTTTAGTCAATATCCATTCTGTTGCAGCAGTGGGACAAGGACATAAAGGTGGCACATTTTCACAGACCTTCTTCCCCTAGTATGATGCTATGCTGAGGGCATTTGAGCAGTACAGCTATGGCTCATGAAAGGGGAATACACTTGTATAACGTTGAGAAATCACTTAGCTTTTATTGCATATCAGTAAAAAGGGGGAGGAGGGAATACCTATTCTGTTAATTGGTGGTGAAAATTAAATGACAGAACATGCCCAAGACTTAGTGCATTGGTTTATATATTGTAGATACTACAAATGTTAGCTTCTGATTCTGGAATCAACATAGTAAAAAGAATAGAAGAGCTATGTTCTGGGTCAGCCTAATCATTTTATGCCTTTCTCACTAATTATATTTTCTCTGTATTCCTCTCTCTAATTTTGGGCAAAGGATAGGCATCTGGGAAGAGGAAGATGTTTATCAAGGGGTCATGAGGTATGGTGGAGGTACGTAGATTTCCAAAACATACTTCTTCCTAGTTCACTATTTTGCCCCGGGCCAGCAATTCAAAATCATGTTACAGACTGCCTTTTCCTGATTACAAATTTGGGTTTGTAGTATATAGATGATAGTGGTAGTAAATTTACTTTGTGGTGTAAGATATCAGTATGATTACAGCATGGTAATTTGAACATAGGACAAGCAAAATGAGAGTAAAACATTTACATGTAAAGTAGATCCCTCTCATAAAAGCTTTTAGCCTAGGGTTACTTTATTTGGCATTTGATAACTGGTATGTATCTTCCATGGATGCATTTTTATTTTTTTTTCTTCCAACAGCAAACCTATTTTGGAAATAGCATTTGGAGTTAAAACTCCATTTATCAATGACCATGGACTGATTTCATTTCATTTATCTGGGCTTTAGTTTTTCCATCATTATTATAATAAGGTTTTTTGTTTTATCCTGTTTCTAACACTGTAATTCCCACGTACCTTCACTATCTACGTCATGAATTATAAGAACACCAAACAACTGACATTTACTGTGCAAACCTGACCAATCAAGATTAAAGGAAACTCCTTTTGTAGTTTGTGGCCTGTTTCTTAATATAATGCTAAAAGGATTCTGATTAATTTTCTCTCAGTAAAGAGAAAGAACTATTCTTGATGACACAGGTGCATAGTAATATGCCTGCCTCTAATGAAAGTTGTTCTATGGTTTCCTCTCTTTTTTTGGCCATCACTTCTGTTCATCAGTCACATCAGTTTCTCTTATTTGCTGCACTGTAAAAAGCAGAGTGGAAAGATGACCTAATTTGTAAGGTTAATAACTTTTAAAGTCACAGTAAACTTTAGCCCACAGATGGGTCTTTACTTCTAGCTGTGGGCAACAAATTTTCTTGGTGCTTGAAAGCTCTCTGTTGGTGGATTTGTGTTCATGTTTCATGTGATGGATTGATGGTACCCCCATACCCAGCCTCTGTGTTCATGAAATATTGCTGAACAAGTTGTGAATTCTTTGAATATTTTCTACTTTTCATATTTTCAAGTCTTAAAACAGTTATTTTGTTCACAAGTTGCTTTTACTCGATTTTTTATAAATCTTTTGCCCCAAACCAGAATAAGTTACTTCTTGTCCATACTGACCTGGAAAATACTGGCTTCATAAGGAACCTTTCATGTTTAAGTTAAATCTTTGTTATAAAGGAAATCTCCTAGAACTAAAAACAAATGGGAAAGTATTTTTCTGCAATATTGTTTATATATTATTCCATTAGTTTTGCTTTTTCTATCTGTGAGCATAATTTCTATCTGCTCTCTTTTTATTTAACGTTTTAAATGTATTCCAACCGCTGAGACCGTGATATTGTAATGTATGAGAAATAAACATCTGGTCTTTATCCCTATTCTGGGCACAGGAATTCCTTGGAATTTCCTGTTAGTGTGATAAAGGTGTCTTTTGAGCTTATGTTAATGCGGTGACTTGGAAAACTCCTAGGTAACCTAAGGATGGGGGCTGGTTGCCAGGGAGAAACAACCATGTGATTAAAGGGTTGGAACTTTCCTCCTTCCTTATCTCCCAGGGGAGAGGAACTGGAGATTGGGTTCAGTCACCAACGGCCAATGATTTAATTAATATGCTATGTAATCAAGCCTCCATAAAATCCTAAAAGGACAGGGTTCAGAGAGCTTCTGGGATTGGTGAACACAAGGAGATGGGGCAAGAGTGGTATGCCCAGAGAGCATGGAAGCTCCTTGCCCCTTCCCCATACCTTGCCTTACCATTTCTTCCATCTTGCTGTTCTGAGTTATATTCTTTTATAATAAACTGGTAA